GCCTGGAGACTTACACAACCCCAGGGATTTGATGTTCTCCTTGTGTGTCCATAAGGACCTGACAGAACCTTGGATACATCGACTTCCCCTTTCACCAACAACAGCAGCTCCTTCCCCAGCAGATTCACTGGGGGCTCTCCCTCTGCCCCAGCCCTGCACTGGGCAGCCAGTGTCACACTACAGAAACAAACCACGTCGTTCTATACAAAATTATGCAAATTTTTATTTACAACAGAGAGGGTTTGCCCCAGCCAGCAGCACCGTGTTCCAGCTCCAATCCCACCCTGCTGGCACACAGGCTCTGGTCAGAGGGGCAGAGCTGCTCAGGGATCAGGCGTGCCCAGCCCGTGTGGCACTTCCCCAGCAGCCACAGGCACAGGACAAACATGAGGTATAATGTGTTCGCTCCCCTCACCTGGGGATTTACTTTGTTCCCCCCCAGTCACCCCATCACCACTCCCTGCCCAGGCCAGGGCAGCCACCAAGGCCTGGCACTCCACTGGCACAGTCCCAACACACCCAGCCAGGCTCTCCCCTCCCAAACGATGGGGAAACTTGTGGTATTCCCTTCCAGCTCTTCCCTGGGAAAGACGAAGAGCACAGCTCGAACAGGCAGAGCAGCAGCAGCTTTCCCAGAACCCGTGGAGGAGCTGCCATTCCCTTGTCCCCAAACCTCCGCAGAGGGTGCCCAGCACAGCTCTTGGCCCCCAGTGCCCAGGGCTGGGGCTCAGGAGTAGCTGAGGGGCATCTTCCTCCACAGGCCCCCACACAGGCAGTTCTTGATCCAGCGCTGCTCCCACTGCTTCACTGCCGTCACCTTGTTGGGCGACTTGAGCATGGTGACACAGCCACACCTGGGGGGGACACGGAGGGTGCAGCCAGCCCAGGGCAGAGCCAGCACTGCCAGGGTGCTGCACGGGTCACACAGGGGCCTGGGCACCCGGGGAGGAAAGCAGCTCCTGTCACTTGCAGGTGACACTTGGGAGCACCAAACCCAGCTGAAAGCAGTGAGCAATCAATGATCCCACTGGAGGTGGAGCTGGAGCAGAGCAGCCCCAGCTGCTGTTTATCCACGAAACAGCTGACATTCATCTCACAAAATAGATCTGCTACAGAGACTTTCTATTAAAACCAGTAATTAAAGCTAATTCAATCACATGACTAGATGGATGTTTGTTCCCTGAGCCATTACCCTGAAATCCAGGCCCTCCTGGGAGGGAGAATGAGCATGAAACAGGAGCTTGTGTGGCAGAACAACCCCACACTGGGAGCAGGGATGCTGGGGTGGTGCAGCCCCACTCTGAGCACACAGGTGCTTTGATATAAAGACCAGCCCTGCAGGCCTGGGATCATATAAAGGAGTCCCTAGAGACTCTTCTGGGCCTGATTCCAGCTCCAGTGACCAGACTGCTCATTTGGGAGCCTGATCTACTGTTTGATTTTTAACCCAAGGCTCCAGGATGCAGTGATGTGATAACACTGCTGACAATGAGGTGGGTTCCCAGGTTGGGGTGTCCCACGCAGCAGGACAAGAGCACCCTGAGCAAGCTCCAGGGGGACAGCCAGGGCCCTGCCCGAGCCCTCTGAGGGTGACACCCGCGTCCCTCACCTGGTGCAGGACTTGCACTCCTCCGTTGGGTACGCGCCCAGGTGCAGCCGCCTCAGGTGGTCAATTTTGGGCTGTCCAGGAGCCCTGGGGAGGAGAATGAGGCTCTCCTAAAGTCGCTTTCTGGAAGCTGCTCCCAGGACAGGGAGCTGCACCTCAGTGGCCAACACGGCACAGGCTGTGCCCACCTGCCCACCCAGTGCCACGGGATCCGTGGCCATGGTGACATCAACTCATCACAAACCAGAGCGTTTTCCTTCACTTTGCCATTGCTTTTCAGCACTTCAAATTCCCAGCCCAGCCCAAGTTGGGAAATGGATTAGAGCAGAGAGGACAAACTGCTCATGGGTCACATCAGCAAGGGGACAGGCCAAACCTCCAGGGTGTCTCAAACCTCAGGGAACCCAAGAGACCCCAAAGCCTCCAACATCCCTTCCCACCACAGCAGCGACTTGTCCCAGGTGTCCGTACCTGACGAAGGCATCGAACTGGGAAGAGACAGTGTGACCAACGAGCCCGGGAGCCTTCCCGAACTGCAGCCGGACCAGCTGCTTGTTCTGCAGCTTGCTGATGATGCCGTCGTTGATGGGCAGCCAGTCGATGTTGGGAATGAGCAGCTGGCTGGGCAGGAGGCAGCACTCGTCGATCAGGGCATCATCAGGCTCCGTGATGTGGTTTTCCTCACGACCTATGTGGAAAAGGGAGCAAGGAACCGGCATGACCTTGACATTTCTCCTTCAGAGCGCCAGAGAGCTGCATGCAGCCTCCTCCTCCATGGCCAACATGGCCTGGAAAACAATAATCTTGGCAGCTGCACTCGCCCTTTCCGAGCAGCGCTCAGGGTCAGGCTTGGAGGTCACTCCTCGCACGCTCCAGCCCAGCCGAGGCAAAAAAAGGCATGGCCCACACTCACAGCACAGCCAGAGCTTGGTCAGGAGCCGGAAGAGCAGGGACATGCTGTCCTGGGTGTCGGAGGTGGCCGTGTACACCGGGAGGCAGCTCGGCTTCAGCAGCCCCCAGATGCGGATCACCACCATCAGCTCGCGGAACATGCCGAGGGACGCGCCGTCGCGCAGGAAGCTGTGCCCGGGGCGCGCAGGAGAGCCCTGCAGGACACAGCCAGGATGGGGCTACAGCTGCCTGAGCCACTGCTCTGTGCCCAGACAGCTGCTGCATCCCAGCACCCCCTGCAGCCTCCCCTGCCCGAGCTGCTCGTGTCACTCCAGGATGTGCAGCACCTCCGCAGAGCTGCATTGGGCGCTCCCCCAACCCACACCACACTGCACAGCCAGTGGCTGCACCACCAGCCCCCGGGGGCACGGGGAGGGCCATTCCCTGATTCTGCTGCTCCTGCTCCTCTCCAGTGCCCATGCCGACACGGACACAGGTCCTGTGTGCCCTGGCTAAAGCTCCCCTGATGCTGCCCACGGGTCTTTGTGCCCCTTAGCCTGTTCCCTGGATCAGCGGCTCTCACCTGGTTGGGAAGGCTGGCCAGCAGGTAGAGCACAAAATCCCCCACCCACTGGATGAGCTGCTGCAGGGACTGCAGCGTCGTCATCTCCAAGACAAACTCTTCTGTCTTCAGGTTAATCATCACCTTGTCAATGTCTGGAACAGAAGAGAGACATCACCTGGCTAAGGATGGATCCAAACTCCACTCTCAAGCTACGGTGCCAAGCGGTCAGTCACCCTCCTCCTCCTCCTCCAGCCAGGAGTTACTGTGAGACCATGACACAGGGGGAATGTCCTGACCTCAGCCCTGGGGATGCTGTGAGCAGTCAGCACCTGAGTCGGTGATCTTGGAGCAGATCTCGGTGAGGCGATCCCCGGGGCTCTTGTCCGGAGTGTTGAGGAAGTGTGGGCGCAGCAGCGACTTGAGGGTGCAGCTGATGGCGATCAGGAAGAGCTTGGCGTGGTAGTCGCACACGCGGGCGATGGTGCTGGAGGAGAGTTTGCACAGTGAAGCCTTCATGGCCACGATGCGCGTGGAGAGGACCTGAGTGATGGGGAACGCAGGAAAACGCACGAAGAAAGGCAGAATTAGCATAAGCTCATTAAAGCTGCTGCTGCTGCTGCTTTATTCTCTGCTCTCCCTTTCTGCCACGAGTGACAGGAACGGTGAACACTGCACGTGAGCACTGAGCTGTGCACGTGCAAACAGGGCTAAGCTGTGCACGCACAAACTGTGCTGCTGCTCCCAGAACTTGCCAAAAATAGACTCCACCACCTCACCCGGAGCTCCCAACAGGTAGAGAGACCCACTGATGTCCATGAAAGCAAACACTGCTGACATGGAGGCTCTTCCCAGCTCCAGCACTGCCCCAGCAGGACACTCAGAGAGCACAGCCAGGCAGAGCTGTCGCCCGGGGAATGGCCCTGCCTGCTCTCTGCCCCAGCCCCTGAGCCCCTGTGCCCCCCTGAGTCAGCTCTCACTGACCTGCTGCAGGGCTGCATTCTGGCGCATGTACTCCTCATGCAGCTTCTCCACCAGGTTCTGCACCATGCTGGGCTGGACGTGGAGCAGGATGTCCCACCAGTCGTAGCCAGTCACCATGCAGTACTCCAACAGGAACAGCAAGTGCCGCAGAGACATGTTCATGTCCAGCACGTGGCCCATGGAGGGAGAGATGCGGAGCATGCTCAGCTGAAGGGAGAGGCAAAGGAAAACTGGCATCAAGAATGGGCTTTAAAACATCCCACAGAGCAAAAACACAACACAGGCCGAATGCAGGTCACTCCTGACCCAATGACAGCTCCTGCAGTGATGGGACACATCCCTTCCCATTTAACTCAGAACTCCCAGTCACTTAGAGAGCCTGGATGAGAACTAATCCCCCCAAGAGAGCACAAACCTTCCCGTGGCTGTCCACACCAGCCAGGGCCAGCGAGGTCCAGGAGAGCTGCATGGCCTTGAAGTGCACGAGGGGCCCCGCGGCGCGCGGGCGCTTCAGGGAGGGCTCATCCACGGGGCGCTGCGAGGAGGAGCCGTAGAACACAGCCATCATCTGCAGGGACAGCCGGTGCACGATGTGCACGCTGCCGTCGTGGAATGCCAAGGCCAGGCCTGGGGACACGACAACAGCCTGAGCCAGCAGCTCCTCCGGCATGGCACAGCCCTTGCCCGAGCAGCGGCCACCAAAGAACCCCACGGGGCAACAAGGGGTAGCCCCAGGGCCCTGGGGCTCCAGCCCCTCCTCAGTGCTTCACAGAGATGTGCCTCTTCCCTTGCAAACACCATGGGATGGCTAGGAAGACCCATTGTCTTTGAAAGCTTTCCATCAGCATTCCACGTTTTGCTCTCGTTCTTACTTCAGCTACAGCTCAGAAGATGTGGAAAGTGGTTTCATGCAGAAGCCACATGTTCAGGAGAAAGACAACAGGAACTCCTTACCCAGTCCAGGGAAGAACTTGGTGTCATTGGCCACCTTCAGGTCCGTGTTGGTCAGGGATATTGGCAGCTTGGGCAGCGCCACGGCCGACACGCGGTCCAGGTCGTTGGTGGCAGACAGGATCCGCCACTTCAGGATCATGGGCTGCTTGTCTCCCACTTGGGAAAACAGGGAAGGGAGATATCTGTCCCAGACGGATCAGAAAACCCCAATTCCTGCCCACACTCCCCAGCCAAGCAGGACCACAAACCAAGCCCTGACACTTCGTTTCACCACACTGGTATATTTCCTATATATTTCCCACCTTTCCCTCATATTTTGCTACATTTTTCCTGAATTATACAAACAACTTGTTTTGCTCCATCTCCCCTGATGGAAGGCTCTGCTGGGGGTGATTAAGGAGATCCTTATGTACAATAGTCCTGTATGTTTCACCAAGCAAACCACCCTGGCTGATTATGTGCTACCTGAGCTCAGGTGGAGCCCAGGCAGCCTGGCAGGGGATTAATCCAGCTTCACTGCCTGGTCCTGGCCCTTTGGGAGGCTCACAGAGGAAGTGTGGCTGTGCAGCAAAGCATTGAGAATGTCTTTTATGGAGTGAACTTAACAACCAAACCACTTCCTGGAAACAGCAAATTGCTGCCTACAGTGCAGACAGACAGAGTGGAGCACGTGACAGAGCACCTGAAAATAAATGTGGATCCTGGATCCATGAGATAACAGATGTGAGAGCCTGTCCAGCTCCTGTTCTTCAGAGCAGCCAGTGCAGACACTCACCCACGGGAGAGATTTGCTGGAAGATGTTGTTGACTGGCAGCCCCTCCTTGCGCAGGGACCAGCACTCCACAATGCTGTTGTTTTGGCTGGAGGCACAAAGCAACACCTGGAACAGAGCCCCAGGCACTGTGTCACAACAGGGAAGGACACCGAGCCCTGATGATGCCACACTCCACATTCCAGACCCCTGGACCACCTGGACGAGCTCTGCACTGCCAGGGCCAGAGCCAGGCAGGGAACAGAGCACAGTGTAGTTACGCTAGACAGAGCTTCCCAGGCCACTCTTCCACCACCGGGGGCTCAGTTCTCACCCCCAGCCCTGTTTCCCTGCTGCTGATTTACCTCCCAGCAGGTCAGAGCAGCTGCTCACCTGCTCCGACATGTCCCGGGCCAGGAACTTGAGGTGGGTGATGGCTGGGTACTTGTCCTTCCGGGCAGGGTCGGTGGTGCAGCGCATGAAGAGGGAGGGAAGGATCTCGGTGTCGATCTTGCACTTCTCATTCACCACGCTGACACAGACTTTGTAGAACTGCACGGGGGAGGTGCTGCTGCCATCCGACGTGGCCACCACGATGTTCCCCCCGCCCGTGAAGGCGACGTCGGCCAGGGCCACGCGGCAGCGCAGGCGGCACAGGCTCTCGGTGGAGGTCAGCACTTGCCCGTTGGGCTTCAGGAGGGACACGGTGACCAGCCCACTGATGGTCACGGCGATCCAGCCCTCCATGGGCTTCCCCCCGAACAGCGTCAGCGATGGGGAGAACTTCACCCTGGAGAACTTCTCACCGAAGTTCGATGCTCCAGACTGAAACAAAGGTCAACAAAACGAGGTGTTTGCACTCCAGATCTGTAGCGCTCAGGGCCTGCAGAGCTCTCCTCGTGGGAGAGGCCAAGGATCCTCCGTGGGATACCCCAGGATGTAAAAGCACACAAGCAGAGAGCTCCTGCTTGGAGCCTGAGGCTTTCTGTTTCCACACAGGGAGCTCATCTCCATACACACACAGCTCCCACACCCAAATCCCTGGATCAACCCTCAGCTCCCCAAATGCATTTCCTCTGAATTACCACCGGTGAGGAAAGAATTGCTTTAGTTCCACGTTTCAGCCAAGGAACGGAGGCAACAGACTGAGGGAGACACTTAAAGTACCAAGAGAAAGGAAGCTACAACCCCCATGGGAATCCAGCAGGAACAGGAATCTGACTTTTCTCTTTGACTGGAAAAACTGCCCTGCAGGACTTGCCCAAGGCCAGGAGGTTGCCCAGAGCAGACAGGACACAGGGAGGGTCTGAGGCCTTTGCCAGGACCAGCGTTCCAGCCTGGGCCGCCCACGGGGCTGGCACAAACCTTCTCCACGTGCAGCGCCAGCTTCACGCCGTTGTGCAGCCAGGACAGGGCCACCACCGGGTCCCCCTCCACCATGCTGCCCACCGTGTTCTCCCAGCTGTTGGCCAGGTGATCCGTCATGCTCCAGCACTTGATGTGGCCATCGGCGTCCGCTGAGAGCAGCCTGGAGCCTGTGGCAGTGACCCTGAGTGAGGACAGGGAACAGCCCCAACCCCCGGGAACCGTCCCCAGGACATCACAGAGGGGCACAGGAAGGGAGCCCAGCTCACCTGACTGATCCCACTCCAGGCACGTGATGACCTCGGTGTGGCCAGAGTTAACAGAGTAGACGTCCCAGGGGTGCTCCGTGTCGATGATATGGACCATGTGGGTGAGATCTGCGGGGACAGAGAAGTCACTCCCTGTCCCTCACCACCAGCTGCTGCTCCTGAGCCCACAGAGCCTCAGCTGACAAGGGGAGAGACACAAAACACTTCATATCAAAGGATTCTGGGCAGGATAATGACTGTGCTTGGGAGCTCAGGTGAGGGGCAGGCACCAACGTGGAGCTTCTGCTGGTGCAGGGGAGCAGGAGATGCTCCTCGGGGAGCAAACCGCGGGAGCCCCGGGCGCACTCCGTACCTCTCTCCTCCTCGTTGCGCAGGTCGGTGGTGAAGGCGATGAGGTTGCGGCAGGACCAGGCGCACACGAGGGGGATGGAAGGGCAGTGGTTGCTCTTGGGCTTCTTCTCCCACTCGCACACGTAGGCCAGGTCCAGGCCAGGTCCATGTCCGCGGGAGCCACGCGGGGCTGCTGCGGAGACACGGCCAGGAACGGCGGGCACGGACGGGGGTCACGGACTGGGGGTTCCCGGTGTGTCCCGGTCTACACCAGTGTGTCCCGGCCTATCCCAGGGGGCTCCCGGTGTATCCCGCTCTATCCCGGAGGGGTTCCCTATGCGTCCCGGTGTGCCCCGGTGTATCCCGGGGTGCTCCCGGTGTGCCCCAGTCCATCCCGGGATGCTCCCGGTCCATCTCTCTCGGTCCCTCACTCACCGACTCAC